GTGCTACCGTACAGAGGAACCTAGGCAGGCTGGAGGAATGGGCCAAGAGGAACCTTATGAAATTCAGCAAGGACAAATGAAAGTTTCTGTCACCTGGGAATGCTGAGCCCTTGCATCAATACATACTGGGGCTGACTGGCTTTACTGCAAAGGCTCTGGAGAGTCCTGGCAGAGAGCACGCTCCTCATGCATCAAAGTGCCCTGGCAGCAGAGATGGTAACAGCATCTGGACTGTGCTAGAGGGAGCACAGCCAGGAGCTTGTGAGAAGGGATTATGCTCCTGCTCAGCACCTGTTAGACCGCATCTAGACACTGTGTCCTTTTGAGCCCCTCCAGAAAAGGCGTTGAAAACTTGGAGCCGAGTTCTGCTGAGGCCTCCCAAGATGGTTAGAGTCAGAGCCATGTGATAGAGAGCTAAAGGAACTGGATTTATTCAGCCTGAAGAAGAAGTGGCTTCAGGTGGACCTGGTAGCAGCCTGCCAGGACCTATGAGAGAGTTTTCAAGAAGAAAAAGCCAAGCTTTTCACAGTGGTAACTGGTGGGAGAACAAGAAACAGCAGGTATAAATTGAAACAAGAAATGTTCAGCCTGGCAATGATGAAAAGAAAAACATGTGAAAAATAATATTGGGATTGGGTAAAATGGTTTAGTGTCAAGCACTAACAGACCATAAATAGTGAATAGTCAGACACCATTTCCTGTGTTCCTGGCTCCATCTACCTAGTGCAGAAACCTAAGATACTTTACCTACCACGGTGAATTTCCATTGGCTAGCAATGAAACCTTTGATATATCCCATATTCTTAATTATAACAAGAATATTTTTTTCTGCAAAACACAGCTGTAGTATTTCAGTTAGTGAAGGCTCAAGCCAGTGTCTGCATGGCATGGTGCAGGGCTGCATGCACCTGCCTGCCAATTTTCCTCTATGGGATAGCTTTATTTATTTGGCCTGGCCTATGGGTTAGGCTTCTTGGCAGAATTTATTAACTGGGACCTAGTGCTGCAGGAATGGGTTGCACAAGCGCCTGATCACACTTATGCCTGGCTGGGTTAACATCTGCTGTGCCCCTCTTCTGTAGTCAGCAAAGGAACTGCAACCTCGAGCCTGCTTGTTTTAACTGGCCTTGCCTTGCCCAGTGTTACATTACTACATAGTGTGTAAAAGGATTGGTTTTGTTTATTTTTTTCTGTTTAAGAAAGGATGAAGCTGGTGTGGTAGGAGAGGATGAGGGCAGTTCCAGCCTTTCCATTGTACAAACCTGACACAAGGTCCTCACTCACTTCCCTCAGCCATGCAGCCAGAGGTTGTGACAGTCACTCCTTCCTGTATGTGGAGCATGCTTCAGGATTACTCATAACTCATGGTCACCTGAAAAACCCCTAGAGTTTCAATTTAGACATGTATTCCCCAATTTTGAATGTGTAGGAGAGTACCTGGTCTAATATGAGGCAGAACTTGATCCTGCAGCAAAGTAATGCTCCTCTTTCACCTTCTATGAGCTCTGAGTTTCCTCCTAAAGAACAGGAAAATATCCAGTTCCTGATGGTTGTAGCATTAAGGACACCTCTAAATTTTGTCATTCAGTGGTCTCAGTATGGCTAGAGGGTTTCAAAATATGGCTCCCAGTTTGGCAAGCATGTTTTGGTGGCTTTTTGGGTCAGAAGATGAGATGAAGAGAAATGATTGGGCCTACTCACAGGGATGTTACTATGACACTTCTGCATGACTGGTAGGAACTGATCTGCTGTGAGTGAGGCCAGCAGCCCTGGCCTTGAACTTCTAAAAGGTATTACTTTTAGTCAAGAAACTTGGCCTCGAATTAGTCATTAACTCTATCATTACCCATGAATGATTCTAAACCAAAAATGTTTAGCTTAATGAGTTTATTAGTATAGATCCTAAAAAGTGTAATGCTGCTTAATTTTGGGGAATATCAATTCCCAGAGAAAGAACAATTCATGTTGAGTTATGTTGCGGTAAGTGAACCTGTTTGCCCAAATACTCTCATGGCACAGTAGGGGAGCAATGAAAACAAATGTGGTCCCACCCCTTCATTCATGTACCTGAATAGTTTTCTGGATGGCGTGTAGCAACACAGATATTTTACTGCTGGTAACAGGTTCTCTGGAGGAACAAGTGTCAGAGAAACTGGATTACAAGAGTGGTTCTGAGTCACAGAGTCTTCTGGGATCTTCCTGCATTGGTCGTTGCTCAGAGGTGAACCTGGAGTCAAACTAACAACGAGCTAAATGGTTTGGAGGATTTTCCTGTTGAGGGTGAGGTTGAGGAAATTTGGCTACTGTCTGTTTGCCTTTGCAGTGCTGTGTAAAGTAGTAGGAGACTTGGAGCTGATCCTCTGCATTACCAGCTGATGACATGTCCACCTCTTCATACACTCAGAGGAAGACTGTGTGCAGCTGGTGCTCAGAGTGACCTGCAGGGTACGTCGCTGTATGGTGCTTAATGTCTAGCATTCTCCTTAGCTTCCAGATATCATTCCTTAATTTTTAGTGTCAAGTGGGAAAGGAAAATTTCATGGCAATGGCCCTGGGATGTCTCTTGACATCTCCTGCTGTGAGGAAACGTGAACCATGATTAAGAACAGGCTCACTTCTGAAGGCAAAGTGGTTGCTGTGTCTGAAGAAAAAAGGTCTGTCAATATTCTCAAAGACATGAAGCTGTGATCCATTGTGGGCATTCTGATGCACAGATGTGAGCAGCCAGGCACGGACGGCAGAGCCTTCATGTTCACTGCTTATCATTTTTGGGGAGTCCCTCTGAAGTGCATGACTAAGTTGCTCAACAACACCTGAATTCTTGGGAGATAAAGCCTGTTGCATAGCTGTGCCCTGTGTTGCAAAGGCATGGGTGATTTTAGCATTAGACATCACATGTCACTGCCTTCTGAGTTAGGGAGTTAATATGTTTCTAGAATCTCTTGTTAAACCAGCAATGCACAAGGTATAGCTTATACTACATGGGGCTGTTTACAACCTACAGGAATGGTTTTGCTTCCTTTGCGCAGTTCTCTTTGTACTAGATTTATTTTTCTTTGTCTTTCATAGATTTTGGGAGACTTCAGAGACTAGAACTTCTCCACCTATTCTCAGGTTTCCTACAAGCTGTGCAGGCTTGTATGCAGAAGTACCATTAATTCCTCACAACTCAGACCAGCCTGATAAAAGATAGAGTTGGAAGCAGAAATAAGCAAGACCTCTCCTTTGTAAAATCATAGAATGGCTTGGGTTGGAAGTGACCTTAAAGATTTTGTTCCAACCCCCATGCCATAGGCAGGGACACCTTTCACTAGACCAGATTGCTCAGAGCTCCATACAACCTGGCCTTGAATACTTCCAGGGATGAGGCATCCACAACTTCTCTGGCAATCTGATCCGGTGCCTCACCACCCTCACAGTGGTTCTTCCTGATATCACACAGAATTTCTTCCTGATATCTAATATAAACCTACTCTCCTTCAGTTTAAATTCATTCCCCCTTATCCTGTCACTTCATGCCCTTGCAAAAAGTCTTTCTCCAACTGTCTTGTAGGCTCCCATTTCAGGTACTAGAAGGCCGCAATTAGGTCACCCATAACCTTCTCTTTTTCAGGCTGAACAAACCCAATTTTTTCAACCTTTCCTCACAGGAAAGGTGCTCCATCCCTCTGATCATCTTGGTGGCCCTCCTCTGGACTCACTCCAACAGGTCTATGTCCCTCTTGTGCTGGGGACTCTAGAGCTGGATGCAGCACTGCAGATGTGGCCTCACAGGAGTGGAGTAGTGGGGCAGAATCCTCTCCCTTGCCCTGCTGCCCACGCTGCTTTGGGTGCAGCCCAGGGCATAATTGGCTTTCTGGGCTGTGAGTGCACCTTGCCTGCTCATGTCCAGCCTCTCATCCATCAGCACCCCCAAGTCCTTCTCAGCAGAGCTGCTCTCAGTCTGTTCATCCCCAGCCTGTTTTTAATACCAGGGGTTGCCCTGACCCAGGTGCAGCATCTTGCACCTGGTCTTGTTAAACCTCATAAGATTCCAATGGGCCCACTTCTTGAGCTTGTCCAGGTCCCTCTGGATGGCACCCTGTCCTTCAGGTCTGTCAACTGTACCACTCAGCTCAGTGTCATCTGCAAATTTGCTGAGGGTGCACTCAATCCTTTTGGTCATGTGATTAATGAAGCTATGAAATAATACTGGTCCCAAAACGGACTCCTGAGGGACACACACAACATTTGTCATTGATGACCATCAGGACTCGAGCCATCAACCACTGACATCTGGATGTCACAGTCCAACCAATTCTTTATTCATTTAATAGTCCACCCAGAGAATCCATCTCACTCCAATTTAAAGAGAAGGATGTTGTGGGCATCCATGTCAAAGGCTTCGCAGAAGTCCAGATAAATGCATATCAGGCAATATAATTGCACAGCCAAATTAAGGGAATATTCCAACTTCTAAGTTTGAAGTTGGCCATGCTTTGCATGGATGATTCAACCAGATTACCTCCAGAGATCCCTTCCAACTCAGATTACTCTATGATTCTAACAAAAGAAGGATTTTTTCAAGAGAAGCTGTAAATCTCTTCTCCCAGCTCTAAAGTCACCAGGGAGGTTGCTGGGACTTCTGCACAGGTCAGAGATTAGTGAAAATCATACTCTTTCACTTTTTTTCCACTTTGTGGACTTTGCAAATCACATCAGTGATTAATATACCAATGAGCTTACTATTTCTGGCATTGGTGAAATTATATTCACCTCTGCATGCTCTAAATTTACCCCTAAATTACACAAAGAAATGCCCACCCTAAAATGCATGTATAAATGAAACAAAAATTCACAACTGGCTGGATGCCCTCTGCAAATCTTTGCTGACTTTATCGTCACTGATGACTAAACCTTAGCTGCTCTTGTTTAACCCAGTGACGTGAAGGCTGGATTCGGTCCTATCCCTAGTTTGCTATCCCTGGTTTGCTCTCTCTACAGCAGATGAATGAGGTTTGCTCTCTCTACAGCAGATGAATGAGGATGGGTTATTGTATACACAGCAGGTGCCAGGCACATTCTCTAGCACCTTTATTTCCTCTTCTTGAGGAATTCACATACAAAGTAGATGGTGACTTGGCACTCAGAGTCGTTCCACTCTCCTGTGCTGAGCATTTCCACACAGTCCTCATGGCCAGCTGGGTCATGAGGCTCCCCTTGCTTCCAGTTACTGTAGTTCTGCAGTGGGCTGTTGTCTGCATACACAAACCGTCCTTCTTTTTCCATGTCATTCAGCCCAATGAAGGCTCGGAAGAGACCACTGCTGGAGATGTAGTCGGCAATCAGGGCATTGGTTGCCTCATCTTTAGGCATGGCCAGTGTTCCTCCTCTGTCCCTGCAGTGGATCAAGGCTTCTCTGTAATTCTTCTCTTCTTTCACGATGTAATAGAATTTCTCATCTGTCTCCCTGATACCTGCTATTACTTTAAAGGAGAAGAAAAATTGCTTAATGGCATGTCAACAGGTGCTGAAGGTGCTTCTATTCCAACATGACAGCGAGATGATTTTTAGATTAGAATTGATAAAAGGGAAAGAGGAAAAGTATTCGCAGCACTGAATTTGTGATGAACAATGAAGACATGATCAGAGAGTGATGCAACTAATGGGACTGACAAGCACCTTGCACGCATTTGGACAAGAACTATTCAGTCCTGGTTGGTGTGTCTCCTGTGACACATAAGTTTTACTTCATAGATATCTAGTACTAACCAAATTAAGGCATGCTAAATGGTCAAATAGCAATGTCTAACTCTGAATCACCTCCATTGTACGTGTTTGAATATAAATTGTGAAAGAGTGCCCAGGGATAGAAACACAGGAATATAGATAGCTTTTCAGGTCCTTTCCATAAAGAGCAAAATGAATGTGACTGCTAAAATAAGACATTTTAAATACAGCCCGATATTCAGAGCTGCTGTAGCACCATGTGGCATTGACTAGGAAGAAAATTGTGGCTGCTCAGCAGCTTTAAAAGGCAGACCTCTCAACCAGTGTATAACCTCGTGAATTAAGCAGTGACAAGGAGCGTGCCTGGGCAGCTGGAAGTTGGTAGTCTCTGCTGATGGATTGCTGGCATGGTCCTGAGCAGTGTTTGGCCTGGGACATTTAACACTCTCCCAAACAATTTAGGAGTTATCCCACGCACAGTTTAGGAGTTAGTAGAGAGATACTCCTTGATAATATGTCATTCAGTTTTGTGGGATTTATAATACAGATGAGTTCTGTGCTGGATGCCTGCAGCGACAGAGAACAGTCTCAAATGCATTTAATTTACTGATGCAGCCCTAGTCCTGGAAGCAGTGGTGGAACTGTCTCAAAATCTCTGATATGCCAGGAAACTCTCTGCTTTCCTTTCAGTGAGGCAGTTTGCACTGTCCACCTGACAGCACTGCCTGCAAATGTGGCTTCTTATAACCCATGTCTTTGAACTTTGGCTCCCTGTTACAGAAAAATGATGCTTGCACTGAAGGGAGCACTAGGAATACAATGTTTTCAGCCTTCCTGGGCAGCAGAAAGATCAAGAGGTTCCTATTGCTTTTCCTGCCTCTTTGGATTAGATTGACACAAACTTTTTCCTTACATTGCGTGACTGGACACTGAGCCTAAGCAGACTGACAGTGCAGAGGTGATTAGCAAGCTGTGCCTTGTGCTTTTCATTATTCATTCTGTTGTGCTGTAGATAATTCTTTATTGTTTTTGCCTTTAGTCATCTGGTCCTTACATTCTTATAGGTATAAGACTGTCTCTTGTAGGTTTTTAGAGTGCCTGGCACAGCAGGACCCTCTCTCTGGGTCATTTGTGGCTTCTGCCATAGAGAAGCAATGGTAGAAGAATAGCAATGATAACGGCTATTGAAGCCAATTAAAACCCATCAAATACATAAAGATCCTTACCATTCTTTACAAACTTGATGGATGTATTAAGACGAGCAACATTTATATTCAGTTGTCCAACAAATCTGCGGTATCTTCCACAGTCACAGACCGTGCCTAATGCAATACAAAGGGTAGAGGATTTATCTGTTTAGAAGCATTTGTGTGTGTGCATGGAGAGTCACCCATAGCCCACTTCCACAGCTTCTGAAGACCCAGGCTTTACGTGTGGACAGCCAGTCTCACCTTGACCCACTGACTGTACTTCTGCTGATCAAAGCGCTAAATATTTTGGCTCTGTATAATCCCTTGCTACTGGCTTAAGAGTCCCTGCTTTTAAAAATGTGGATAGAAGAGTTTGCCATCTTCTTTTGACCCATATCAGTGTGGGATTTGTACATCCTCTGCCCCTCTCATTATTGATTCCATCTAGCTCCAGAGATGTGGCTTGTCAGGAGGATCACTACAGCCTCACCTCTGAATACCAAAGATCTACCTTTGTATCTGTAATCAGCGCAGGTCCCCCAGCCTTCTAACAGAAACAGCATCCATGAAATGGGGAACTGCTGCTTTCTCAGTGAAGGAGTTTTGTGAGTATGCATAGAGGTGGGATTGGCAAAACTTTCGGTAGAAGGACTATGTTAGTGAACTAACTATGTTAGTATCTTTCTTCTAGAATCCAGTATAAATGTAAACTGCTGGCCTGTCTATGTGTTAGTTTTTGTGATAACAAACATTGTCCATTAATTTGGGTGACTCTTCTTATTTTGTGTTGGTGTGTTCATAGGCATCAGTCACGTCCTATCCTAGTCTTCATTTTGCTCAACAAAACATTTTCAGTCTCCTCCTGTTTATTCTCATGTTTTCCCGTGGACCTCAAAATTTCCCGAAACTCCAGACAAACCAGTCCTGAAATCAAAAATCCAGCAGACTTGACCATTCTGCAGAGAAGGATGCATAGCATACCTGCTTTTCCTTTTTTTCCAGGAACCCCTGATAAGCCCTTGGCTCCTTTGTCACCTGAATAAAGAGGAGAATATATTCTCAGATCTCAGACAGTGCACATGTCAGGGGAGTGTATTCGAAAACCTGTTTAATAATATATTAACAGCGTGCTTCTGATAGGAAGCTCTGATGTGCTGTGCTGGAAGACATGCCAAGTTAAACAAACCATGATTAATTCTGGTGTATGGAAATGAGAACCCTTTAATAGCTAACTTGCTGATAACACAGGCATCTTGTGTTCTGCTGGTTCCTGGTACTACTTACTTTAAATATAAACTGCAAAACGATCCTCAGAGGCTGAAAGCACTCCAGAAATCTTGGAGAGGTGAGATCTGGGTTCTCTCACGGGCTACAGGACAGAGCCCTTCCCTGGGTTCAGTAGCTCCATGATGGGCTGAGGCACCAGACAAGGCTCATGTGCACTAAGCCACTGAATTCATGTGTGCCACAGATTGTGTGTGTGGGCAGCAGTTGGCAGCTGCACAGAGGGAGGTCAGTAAGGAACAGCATTTAATCTCAGTTGCAGTTTATGGAAATGTGAATTATTTTCATCCAACTGCTTTCCTCTTTTGTAAATCATAAAAATGATTTACAATGCTCTGCTAGTATATAAGTGGAGGTGACTAGCTTTTTAAAAGATCTCAGCTGTAATTTGGATCAGGAGCAGCTGGACTTTATCTGGAATTCATGTCAGCTCTTCTTTTATGAATTAAACCTTTAGAAGTGAAAAAATACTGCTTACTCTGCTTTATTGAAAGCCATGTTTTGATGAACTTTTTACTTTATATGGTTGTGATTTTTAAAAGAATTTACATGTTGGCTGTCATTTTAATTAGCATTGCTTGACATGCATACTTGCAAGCTGGAATTTCAGAGTTACTTCATTAAGAACTAAAATGTTTAATTGTAGATTTAAACAGTGACTTAATGACCTTTGCTTCCACAAATAAAGAAAATGAGAAAAACTGTAAGAGGAAAATTGTGCATTCAGATTGAGAGAGCTTGGTTTAAAGGCTCAGATCATTGGTTTATTTTCAGATAAAGAAAAGCAATTTGTGAGATACTTCATTTAAAATTAGTCCCTCAGACAAAATTCTTTTCTTCTCTGATACTGACGCTGGCTAGAGGCCACCAAAGGCCTACTGAAAACACTGGTTTGAGAAGCTCCCTGGAGAGATTGTTCCTCCCATTCACCAGCATACCTGGCTTGATGCACTGGTTAGAGACCACAGAGTTCCCCTGGGGATGGTGGAGTTTCTGATCAGCTTTCAAGGAAGGTCTCCTTGTGGCAGAATTGATATTCCTTCTTAAGTAACTCTTTAGAAATACCAGAAAGAAATGCCTGAGCTTCTTCTTAAGATAAATAGAGCATAATTTCATGAAATTATTGTCCAGGCAGACTTGGAGTCTACCTTGATTTGCAAGTAGTTGTTGTCCCTGCTTATATGAGTATCTTCTTAAGACTCCTAAATCCCTTCCTTACCAAGCTGTCCTGTGCACATGTGACCCAGAACAGTGCAGGTGACCAGGGGTGGCATCCTGAACAGCAGCAGAACATTAACTTAGGCCTTTGTGTCCAAATGAGAGGCATAAATTTGTCTTTCTTTTTTATAACATGCAGAGGATTTGCCTCACAAGGGCTAGATTTCTCCTTTCCTCTTTTACCATAGAATCATGGAATAATTTGGGTTGGAGAGGACCTTTAGAGATCTTCTAGTCCAACCCTCCTGCAATGAGCCAAGACACCTTCAGCTAGATCCATCGAAAAGAGTTGGTTTTTTAACTCATAAACCAAATTATTTTATCCAAATAAGACAGATATAGCGCACATGGGAAATAAAACAAGAATATCTCCATTAGCTCTCATCACCAATTTTTATGCATAACTTTATTTGGAGAGCATTGGTCACAGCCATTATCTGATATTACTCCATCTCTGGAACTCTTGCAAAACACATTTTTACCTTAAGGGAAAAAACCAAGAAAACTCCCAGACCAGAGCTTACCCTTGCCACCAATTGGGCCAATTTTCCCAAGCATTCCCTGGTCACCAGCATCCCCCACTGGTCCTTCGTTTCCTAAGAGAAGAAATAAAAAGGAAATGAGTATGGATGGTTTCTGTAATTTCTTTTCCAAGGCACTGTTTAGGTATCTACTGCTGCTATTTTTCCTGAGTGTGGCTAGTCTGCATGTGTGGCAAAGTCAGAATGAGCGCAGCCCTGAGGATGTTTGGAGGAGTACAGCACAGATGTCTGCTGCTGTAGGATACGACAGTGGGACGTTGCAAGGCACCTTAATAGAACTGCCTGTTCAATGCCCAGAAATATCATATTTTCTTACAGAAAATACAAACTAAAACTGCTAGTGAATATTCAAATATTGATTTTACTTCACAGTCAAACAAGGCTGACAGCAGCTTTATTTGTTTTCATTTTTCTCCACCCCTGACAAAAGTCTTCCCTTCTTTCTTGAGGTAAAGTCCTTGCAGCTTTGCTGGGAATCCTTCTAAAAGCAGAATTGCAAGTAGGGAGCTAGTTTTGCTGTATGTGCTTTCCCTGTCTTCAGAGCACCAAAATAACGGATGTAGTTTTTAATTGATTAGTAGTTCAAGTTCTAAAATAACTGTCTAATGATGACAGGCCAATCTAGGGAATCTCAGCTTGCACACTGAATTTAACATCAGTAAGATGCTTTGTAAATGGTTGGTTAGCTGACTCCCTTGTGTCTTACCTGATGTTCATTTTAAGGTAAGAATCAAAATCATAAGAATGCATTTAAAAATGGAAAAAGTTTTTTATTATAGCAATAATAACAGGGTGATTTTAAAGGTTCTAGGAAAGTAAAAACTTTCCTGGTTAGTCTTACACCACTATCAAGGAAGAAAGACCATGGATACACATTATCATCAAACTCTAAAGATAAATTAAGGTTTTGAATTGCAGAATGCAAACAAGGCCAACACCATCACATTTGGTGCCTCCAAATGCCCTCCACAGGTCACACTGTGGATATGGAATATGTTTAATTGAGCCAAGTTCTGAAGCATCTGTGACTCTTTGTTCTCAGCTCAGATGCTGCTTGATTAGAGGAACTTCTGTTTTCAATGGCTTTGTTGGTTCTTCTGCAGAATACAGACAACTGAGACCCAATGTTATTGAGCATCCTGATGTATTACTAGGAAATAACTTTCAAAATTCAGTTTCAACTAAAGAATCATTTGAATAAGGATCAGTAATCTTTCTGATTATACATATGATCTGGGTCTTCTGAATCACACTCATAACAGCCATATATGGTTGTCTTAAGTATCGGTAGGAATTGCTCCAAGCTCTCTTAGTATTGTTAGGTTCTCTGATTAATGTTTGACAGGATTGTGAAATCCACTGGTTCAACAGGAATGAAAAGCATTAAACATCAGCAATCATATGCATCATTACAGTTGTGCATAATGATATTCATATATCAGTAATAACCAACAAAATGTTATAAATACCTTTTGGTCCTTTTGGTCCAACCTTTCCTTGTTTGCCTGCTTCTCCTCTGTCTCCTTTTTCACCTTCATCCCCTTCCAAAAAACCAGAAAATAAAACAACATGGTACATTTCTCTCAGTGCAGTAAGTACAACTATACATGCTCAGAAAGTAAAGTTCACAGGGTTTTTTTCCTATTAATTTCTTTCTATTTCACATTGAAGGCACAGTAGCCATGGGATAAATTTCCAGAGAAGAGATGGTGAATCTGACCATCATTAGGAAAAGCTATTAACTTTCCCTTTCTGAGAGGCTGTTACAACATGAGAATTCAACAACACCAATTCCTACTCCCACACGTTAAGCCTTATTAGCTATAAAACAGATAAATAAACCAATCTTTCTCTGTTGGGAAACTTGTGAACACACAGACATACTACCAGGGGAGGCAGTAGGTGTTTATTAATTGTTCCTAGTGATTCTCTTCCTAGTGACTCTGTGTTCAAGGTATGCAGATGCTTTCAAAATGGGAGAAATGTAAATATGTTGAAATATTTCTTAACATAGACCTTGGCACTTAATATGGCAGAATTCTTGCCTTCAGTTTTCGACAGATAACATTTGTATGTTGATATAACAAACTTGTTTTGGAGTTACTCCAATGCTTTATTTTGAAAAATCATACACAGGGTATCTGTAAGAGGCAAAATCATTGCATTTATTATAGTAGTGCAGAGATTTCTCCAAATGAGATCAAGACCCTCTTACACAGGTTCCTGTGTAGTACCGTACAAACATTTTTACTGTTGTAACAGACAGTCTCTCACTGTGCAGCTTACAGTCCAAAGGTGCAGGGCAGCAATTAGTCGGAAAGAAATATTATCTCCTTCCATAGGTAGCATACAATGTTTCTTTGCACTACGCAGGAAATTTGAGGCACAACTAAAGTTGATTTTCTTATTTTTTACTTCTTAGTTTTGAGCCAAATCCCAAGAAGAGATTTGCTCTCTCTCGTTTTTCCCCCCTACCCTCCCCCAGGAGGTGCAGGCAGGGGACACAACTCACCTGCACCAAACAGCAGCACTGAATACAGGCAGTCTTCCAAAGCCTCTCCCCCTGTTCCCTACCCTTGTTGGCAGTAAGCCTTGCCATGCAGTGGGAAGCAGTGCCACAGTCTCTTGGCTCAGCCAGGATCTCACCTGTTACTGGCAGCCAGTTGTGGCTGTGCCTGCAGCACGTAAGGGAAGAAGAGGCTGCAGTTCAGTGTATGGAGAACCAGGGGAGGGAAGTCTGCCTGGACGTCAGCAAAATGAGAAATGAGGACAGAACAGCAGTATGTGACAAGACCAATAACCTGTCTCACTGAGGATGGTGCCTCCAAGCCCTGACAGGAGGTGTTTAGGGAACTGGGTGTACTGAGGGTGACTATGACCCAGGCAGCCATTTCCAGACTCTCACGAGCAGTGGTTTAAAGGCTCACCTGAGCCAAACACTGCATCCAGACCTCTTATGAACTAGTGATTCTTCCCTCCACCAAATAGCCTTGTGCCTTTTAAATCCATGTATATTTTTGGCCCTTATAATAAATATCCTGTGGCAAAGAGCTCAGTGGTTTTTTTATGTGGTGAGGAGAAAGTACCTTCCCGTGGTTGCTGTAAGACTGATCATTACATTGGTCTCATTTTTTTTCCTGAGAAATACTGTCCATTCATTCCTGATTTACCTTCCTCTACTTCTGTAGTCATAGGTAGTGTGCCATGAGGCTGTTCTGTGGAGTGATGCCGGATGAGAAGTGCTGCATATTGGTTGTAGCATATAAAATGTAATTTTAGATGTCTGGCACCTTTCCGTGCCAGTTGCATGGACCGAGCTGAGTCTGTCCCTTTTTGCCAAAAAACCCTTCAGTGTTGGGACTTTTTTGTGGAGAGCAGATTCAGTCTGTTGGTCAGGATACCATTTGGGGTAAAAGGTCAGTGGTCCAAGCTGAGAAAGATAAAGGGCTGAACTTCAGTCTGTGTTGGAGGGAGGAAGCAGTTTCTAGAGGGATAGACAAGGAGAGGAAACATGATGTATGTGTGGGCTGGCTCACTCAGGCACTTTGTTTTTAACACCAGCTGCCACAGGACAAAATAGGAAGAGAAAAGGCTATAAGCAGGCAGCAATAGAAATTTTAAACATCTCTATTTCCACTGGGTCTTAAAAATACTGAAAAACTTAGTATATATTTCCAAAAGCCAAGCTCTTTAAATATTCAGCTGAAGCTGTGGGTCTGAGCCTGAAGCTGATGGAAGGATCAGCCTGCTTTTACTGGCTTCCAATCCCGCTGAGAAGGACTTGGGGGTGCTGGTCAATGAGAGGCTGGGTATGAGCTGGCAATGTGCACTTGCAGCCCAGAAAGCCAACTGTGTCCTGGGGTGCATCCAAGGCAGCATGACCAGCAGGGTGAGGGATGTGATTGTACCCCTCTACTTTGCTCTGGTGAGACCCCACCTTGGGTACTGCCTCCAGCTCTGGGGTCCCCAGCACAGGAAGGACATGGACCTGTTGGATCGAGTCAGAGGAGGGCCACCAAGATAATCAGAGGGATGGAGCACCTCTCCTACGAGGAAATGTTGAGAGAATTTTGTTTGTTCAGCCAGAAAAAGAGAAGGCTCTGAGTGACCTAATTGCTGCCTGCCAGTACCTGAAGGAAGAAAGATGGAAGAGACTTTACAAGAGCATGTAGTGACAGGACAAGGGGAAATGAATTTAAACTGAAGGAGAGTAGGTTTAGAGTAGATATGAGGAAGAAATTCTGTACTGTGAGTGTGGTGAGGCACTGGATCAGGTTTCCCAGAGAAGCTGTAGATGCTCCATACCTGGCAGTGTTTAAGTCCAGGTTGGAGCTCTGAGCAACCTGGCCTAGTAAAAGGTGTCCTTGCCTACAGCAGAGTGATTGGAACTAGATCATCTTTAAGGTCCCTTTCAACCCAAGCCATTCTATGATTCTACTGGTCATCAAACAGCAGAGCTAGAGAATGTACAGTTTAATTTTGTTGTTGACTTCAGTGGATAAGATATTGTCCTCTCCAAATCCATCTATGAAACCCTTGAGAAAAGTGTAAAAGTCACTTCTCAGTAGCTCAGAAATTCAGAAAAGGTTCCCAGAGGCTGACAAAGAGCTTGTGAAATGAAATTCTGGGAGGAGGTTAAGAACCAATATAATCATGAAACCCATACAGGGGGAAAATTGTGTGATAATAGAAAGGAAACAGGGCATGATTCAAAGACTGGAAAAACTGGATGAATCTTGACTATAAATACAATATGGGGATATTTAACAAATGGACTATGTTCTCTGACAAGAGAGAATTGTGGGAGGCTTTTCAGGTCCAACCTTTCCCTGTGCAATTAATTGCTTTATGTAAGATAGGTTGTAATTCTGAGTCTGGTATAGAAGCTTTGTTTCTTTGGAGTTTCTTTGGAGCAAACCAAATTTCTGCTGACCTTTCAAACCATTGCTTGTCACCCTGGCAGTCCTCATCATCTTTCAGGCTGGTTAGTTACATTCCCTGTGGCCTGCAGGCTGCTCTGTGGGGTTAAAATCTCCAGAAGGATTCTTGTTTGCTGCAGAAGAAAGACCTCTGTGCAAGATGCCTTTTCATTTTTTTTTCTTTTTAAAGAAACCTTGCTTAGACAGTTAATCCTAGAAATAGAACCCAAAAAAGAAAGCCAGTATAAAAGCAGAGAAGCTGTGATTCCTTTCCAAAGATGTTTTATTCCTATCTCAGTTTCAACATTTTGAGCCATTGAAAGCTACAGTGACTTTTTCTGAGAGACACTGGAGTAAGCTTTTCACACATGGGACTGCTGCAGATGAAGGTTGTCCTGTATGGACCATCAGACTGAGAGCCGACAGGTGAAAGGAATGATAGGTTTTGGAAAGTTTGTTCTGAGATTTTGAGAGGTTATGGAAGGGCCTCAACTTTTATTGTTTATACCTTGTATAGTCCAAATTTTTGCTTAAACCATCCAAAAGCCTAAGGGAGAGGGAAGTAATATCTATCACCTTGGCATAAAGCAGCCTACCACATTCTGTCTTAGTTTCCCTATCCAGAAAAACGGGAAGAAAAATAATTTGTCTGTAAAGGAGAGTAATCCTGCTTTTCTCCCCATGTAGCTGAGAATAGGTAGGCCATTACAAAACAAGGGTAGACACAAACCCGTATTAGTTAGTGGTACCATCTAATTGTTAATTTAAGACTGGATTAAGCCCAGTGCTTGCTAATATGGTTTTAAAATGTTTTGTGTCCTCCTTTAGCTGGTGTTGTGTGCAGTGATCTCAAATTTTGGCACGAAACTTGAACTCTTGTGTTGTGCTCCCCTCTTGTGGTCTCGCTATGATTTGCAACCAAGTAGGAGGGGCTGACTGTTCTGGGCAGAGGTTGAGTTGGCTTCCTTTCTAATTTATAATAACTATTCCTCCCTTTCCTCTGGGGCTTCACGTGGACAAGCCATCCCATTGTATTAGCCCCCTTTTTTTTGTTGTTTTTTTGATTATCCAGAAAAAAAAAATCTCTCCTGCTAGTACTCTGGGCTGGATTTTTGAATTCCGTACTACTGTGCTTTGTGCAACGTGATTTTTCTGACCCTTGACCTGATATGCTTGTAATCTATACCTAGAGGATCACCTCTCCTTTGTGCTGCTTTACACTCGTGGCAGTGTCTGGTTAAATTTTAACCTAATTAGCAGATTGTCACCTTAAAACTGTGGTTGCAGGGATGTCAGATAATGCACTGCATTGGCATTTGAAGCATGAGTGAAGAAGCACTTGAAGTCAGTAACTGAAGTAAGACCATTTCTCAACCTTGTTAGTATTCCCTCAAGTTGATTTGTTTCTTCTGTGTTACAGATTTAAAATACCAGATTACTGAATTGAACACCTGAAGCAGTACATTACTCGACTCTTCCATCTTGGGACTGTGCAAGACAAAAGAAAAGCAGAAGCCATAAATAGAAAGTGACTTTTGCAGCCATTAGAAAATTTTAATTATAATTGAGAGGGAACAACAGACCTTCTTTCTCCTATAAACAAGTTCAGGAAAATGCTAAAG